TGAGGGTGTAAGTTGTGCCCGTGAGGTACAGCAAGTGCATGGGCGCTGGGCCAGGAGGATACTAGAACACCCAACAAAAGGAGGTGACAGTCTATGCACACTCAGCTGGTGATGCTGCATCCAATAAATGGAATCTGGTTCTGGGGGCACATAGATTAAGGGCAGTATTGTCAAAGGGGCACGTTTTTAAGGTAGTCGAGGGTTTAGAGGTGGCTCATAGTGGAGGGAGATTACAGGAGAGTGGCTTAGGCGCAACTGGAGGCTTCTCTTCCAGTGGTTGGTGGACAGGCAGAAGCCAGGGAGCTGTGTGGTGTTTATTTGTTGGTGTGTAATAGAACCCCCCCAAAAGCCCAAACTCACTGCCATTGAGTTGATTCTGACTCAATGTGACCCTTGGGACCAGGTAGAACTGCCCCTGTGCGTTTCTGAGACTGTAGCTCTTTACTGGAGTAGGAAACCCTGATTTTCTCCTGTGGAGCGGCTGGTGGTTTTGAACTGCTGACCTTGAGGTCAGCAGCCCAATGACAATCCACTACAGCACCAGGGCTCCTTTATCATAGACAGTAGAACAAATTAAAGGTTCCCCATCGAGCTTGCTGAGGCTTTCGACTCCCGTAAAGAGTTACCATATCGGAAACCCACAGGGGCAGTTCCACGCGGGCCAGTGGGATCTCAGCCGGTCAGCATTGGCTCGGTGGCCGTGGCCTTTGGTGTCCAGAGTAAGGAGGAAGCAGCTTTGTTTAAGCGGTGAGCTCCTTGGTGTTGGGGATGTTCAAGAACACCGAGGACCCTCGTCCCAGGACGTAGAAGGTGACCTTCTCATCCCGGTGCGGATGTGGAATGGGAGACACCTGAGGGGCATCCCTCTGGAGAGATTCTGACCTGTATCCTGACCCTCCTCCCTGCGCCTCTCCCCCCCTGCTGGGGCTTCCCCCTCCCCTGGGGCGCATTGACACACACACACACATGCACACACGCACATGATTCAGAAAGGTGACCCTGAATGGAGATACTGTGAGAGGACGGGCCCAGGAGGCACAGAGAGCGGACATAGGGAAGGAACAGAAAGTGGACGGTGAGGGATGCTGAGACGGTACAAAAACAGAAGAAAGAAGCTACAGGAGGTGGAAATGAGAGGGCGAGGGCCCATTGAAAGTAAGAGCAAAGGGGTACCAGCGAAGAGGAGAGGGGGGCATGTGGGATTGAAGCAAGAGGAGGCCCCGGGAGGGGGAGAGATGGACAAGAAGGGAAGGGAGAGGAGACTGAGCTCTCTGGGCATCTGCTGGGCAGCACGTGGGTAATCTCTCTGTTTTCAGCCTGTGTTTGGAACCCACTTGGAGGGGGTTCCTTCCAACCAGTAAATACACCGGAGGCCAAGACACTCTCCACCACAAGCCAGCAACCATTTCGCCATTCCAGCTGGCTGCCCCTCCCAAAGGCCCCTCACACCACCACCCACATCCCCTCCCTTACCCCACCCCTCACCTCCCACCCTTGCTGGCCTGCATCCCTCCAGCTCCTACCCACCCCACCACTCCCCTTCTCCAGGGTCCTGACACCATCAGGTTCTCCGGAGCCCACAAAGGAAGCTGGAAGCCATCGGGCAGTAGCGCGCAGTCCCAAGCTTGTACCTACAAGTGTGCCTGATAAAAGAGACCTCCTGAAATGCGTTTGCTCTCCCCCCTGGGTTGAATCTCCCTCCTTTTTTCATCCCACCTCCACTCCCTCCCAAGTCACCAGTTGGCCCCTTATCCAGCCTTCTCACCTTCCACCCAGCAAGCCCACCCCAAGCAGCTACAGGCACAGCGGGCTCCCTGTGAGGGAGGCTCCTTTTCTGCCCTGAAGACGCTCCCAGTCTTACTGAGCAGACAGGCGTGGGTGGGTCTGGGAGGGGGTCAAGGTCTCAAGAGATTAGACTTCATCCAGTCTGTGGGCCCTCAGCATTTGGCTGTCATCATGAGGCCCCTGATGGCCACTCCAGCTGACGCC